CTCGGAACGGTCTCGGAACGGGTTCGGAGACGGGCCCATTGGCTCGGCCGCGCGAAGGTTTCGCAAGGTTTGAATTGCGTGGCAGGCGCAGCACTTTCGCAAGGTCAAGTATAGATTTCGTGGCAGGCGCAGCACTTTCGCAAGGTCAAGTATCGATTTCGTGGCAGGCGCAGCACTTTCGCAAGGTCAAGTGCCAAATTCGTGGCAGGCGCAGCACTTTCGCAAGGTCAAGTACAAATTTCGTGGCAGGCGCATCACTTTCGCAAGGTCAAGTACAGAATTTGTGGCAGGCGCAGCACTTTCGCAAGGTCAAGTGCAAAATTCGTGGCACGCGCAGCACTTTCGCAAGGTCAAGTACAGATTTTGTGGCAGGCGCAGCACTTTAGCAAGGTCAAGCACAGATTTGGTGGCAGGCGCAGCATTTTTGCAAGGTCAACTTTCGCAGCCGGGGCTCGAAAATCGCAACTTTTAAGTACGAAAGTAGTACGCGAAGTCAACTTTCGCAGCTGGGGCTTGAAAATCGCAACTTTTAAGTACGAAAGTAGTGCGCAAAGTCCACTTTCGCAGCCGGGGCTTGAAAATCGCAACTTTTAAGTACGAAAGTACCTGGAGATTCATTCTCCGGCCTTTTCCTAGGCGTTTTAGTTTCCTGGTAGTTTTGGGCGTGCTGGGCGTTCTAAGTGGTTTCTAGGAGTTTTGCGCGACCCCCGAGCCCAAAAAGCGTCTTTTTCTGATTTGCGGGCGTTTGCGGGGTTTTGCGGGCGTTTGCGGGCGTTTTGCGGGCGTTTTGCGGGTAATTCTGGGCGGGAAAAACGTGAAACCGTACCAATTCTGAAATCTCACATAAATATAGGAGCTTTAGTAGTTTTAGGCGACTTCACGAAAAAAACATCGAGATTTACGAAAAGCAAGTCAAAGCCGAGAACTACCAGGAAATTCATGGAGAATGAATCTCCAGGTAGTGCGCAAAGTCCACTTTCGCAGCCGGGGCTTGAAAATCGGGGCTCGAAAATCGCGACTTTTTAGTACGAAAGTAGTACGCGAAGTCCACTTTCGTAGCTGGGGCTCGAAAATCGCAACTTTTAACTACGAAAGTAGTACGTGAAGTCCAGTTTCGCAGCTTGGGCTCGAAAATCGCAACTTTTAAGTACGAAAGTAGTACGCGAAGTCAACTTTCGGGGATTGAACATCGCAACTTTTAAGTGCAGAGAAAGATGGGTAGATAGATAGATCAATAAACAGATATAGAGATAGCTAGAGAGATAGATAGAAAGAGAGAGAAAGAGACAGAGAAACAGAAAGAGAAAGAGAAAGAGAGAAAGAGAGAAAGAGAGAAAAAGACAGAGAGAGAGAGAAGCAAGGGGCCAAGGACAGTTCTCCAAACTATAGTTGTTCACTGCTTTGAAACTTCCGCCCCCCGGCTTTGCCGGACCTTACTTGTATAAATATGAATATATATATATATATATATATGCAATACGCAACCAATCTGTAAATACAATATTTACTTACTATAGTATTACAGAGTCAACCATTACTATTCATATTTCTTCGCCTAACTTCCCTCTTCAATTGTATTGTTTCGCTTTACCAAAATACGGGTCACCCAGCAAACACAACAATACATAGATAATTTTTCTTTAGTCAAATTCGGTTGTAGATGGAGTCGCCCCTCAAGATCTCTTGGAGAGGATCCGGGGCTCCATATGCCAGATCCAGAGCCGAGAAATTCTGCGCGTTTCGGAGATCTAAGCGAGCTCCCTCACGAAGGAGTATCATGGCAATCTCAAAGTTGCCAGAAAGAAGCGCCAGCATCAGAGGTGTTGAGCCATTGAAGTGATAGCACTGTCGTGTCAGAGCTGTGTCTGTCCCAAATCGATAGCGAAGAGATTGGAGTCTCACAAAAAGTCGTGCTGGAAGGGTCATGAATTGCTTCCACTGTTCATCTATGTCAGCCTTCAGGTCAATAAGTCGGCGGGTGAGTGGAGACGAGCATGCGCTAGACACAGCACATACGTGGAGGAGTAGTGACAGAGGTTCACCTCGGCGAATTAGTTCCTCCAAGGCTGCCAATGAACCTGCATCGCAGGCGGGATAAGTTGTTCGGGAGCCAAAGGCGTCTAACTCGCTTGTAGGATCGCAGCCAGCTTGGAAAAGAAGACGCATCCCCTGAACATTGTTGCTATAAGCAGCCAAATGTAAGGCAGGCGATATCACGCCACGCTGCTGACAATTTGCCTTTGCCTCTATCAGCAGACTGGCAGCATCGTTGTGCCCACACAAGAGAGCAAGCCCAAGTGCTGACACTCCTGGTGGCGTTTTGAGCAGAGGTTGCCCTTTCCGCGCGGTCTTCCTGGGATCTGCTCGCTGATCCAACATGGCTTTGACCAACTCTGGCTGACCACCCAAAGCAGCATAGTGCAGGGGCAGGAAACCAGCACTGTCTACTTCATGGAGGTTCCAGAAACCATTTTGGTACAAAAACCGCTCTACGGTTGAGGCAGAATCTTCATTGCAGCTCGGGACAAACCCGGGCACATCATCCATCTCCAACTCCGTAGCCAGACCTCGCAAATAAACGCTCTGCAGGCTTCTCACTACCCGATATGTCACGAAATCATGTCTGCTCAAAGCTTGTCGCATTCTGCGCCTGAGGGCAGCAAAAAGTACTGGTCCAAATCCGAGCTTGTCACTGGCTACCGCAAACTCTCCTTCGCATATTGGGCTGCTGAGAGACTGGGACCCGACCACGAGCTCTAAACGATCCACACCTTTGATTACAATCCAAGAGCCCTCAGAAAGCTCACAAATGGTCCTCTCCAAACGACACCAACCACGCTCTGCCCAGCTAGAAAAGCTGAGGACTTTTGCTGTGACCGGGTCTTCCAGGAAGGGGCAAAGCGCACAAAAGAAGGAGCACTTCGCAACATACGCGTGGATGCTCGCGATAGCTTTGGCAAGGTCGCTCTCCGAGCCCTTTGAGTGCTGTGGGCATGAAAAGTAGTCGTACCACATAAACAGCTTTACAGATCGCAACTCTTGTGTTCGCAGGGGCTTGGTTTCTGGCGAGACAATCTCAGTAAAATTGTCCAATTCTATACGGTCGAGACGGCCAGACAAGATATTCTTCATTGCATCTTGAAAAACTCTGAACTGCGCGGAAGTAGGATCTGGATGATCCTTCTCGGCCCACTGGTGAGAGACGAACACTGCCTTGCCCAAGCTCTCCTTGAACTCCACCAGCAGACCCTTTTCCTTCAGCCTTTCATGTGGTTCCACACGGCTCATTTGGAGCGCGTCCTCCAACCGCACTGTGAACATCGGAAAAGACGTAGCAGCCTCCGCCTGCGCCTCGTTCTGCAAATACGTTGCATGGCGCGACAAAGGCGTCTTTTTGCGAGAGCAGCGAAACCCCATGGCTCAGGTGTCGGGCCCAATGAGTGTTTACCCAGCCTAGGTCAGCATGCAACAACGTCAGTGGTCAACAATTTGTCTGACCAGGCGAGGCTCATTGATACCCCATCAGTTTCCCCTTCAAATCGTTGGACGCCTATCTCTGAAGTGAAATCTCCCATCAGCAAATCTCCCCGAGGTGCTGCGATCAAATCCTCCGATGCCACATGGGACCAATGCCGCAAGGTGTTCAGCGTTCATATCGAGGAGCCGCCATACTTTCGAGTAAAATCCCCAACAGAACGAAGCAGATACACAGGAGGCTGTATGTCACTCTAGGAGGGACTGAGCATATCCGCTCAACTCAATCAATGAACAAACTGGGAAGGGCTCCATGAAATGTAGGATACGGGCAAGCCAATAAAATGCTGTGTGGGAGATTGAGCTACACAATTTTGCTGCCCAAGCTGAGATTGCACGGGTCATTGTCGGTCAGATATGAAGGCTTTGTGTCTGAGCCTTACGGCAATAGCACCAAACTGAACCATGAAAGTGGCTTCCTGGATCAAAACCAAAGCTTCGGTGCATCAAAAATCCCTACGATTCGGGACATGAGAACCAGCAAGATGAAGCACTGGACGCTGGAGCTTGTTCAGGATCACTAGATTTCCAAATGAAACGTGCGCCCTTGAAAAGGGCTTGTATGTCTATATTCCAGTGAACAACGCCAAGTTATGGGTTACTGGCGAACGAGAATGACTTTGACACGACCAACATCACAGTTGACCAGCCTGAATGCGCCTGATTGATCAACAAGTGAAACAGAGTTTGAGCCTCAATGCAGGTAGGGGACCATCAACATGGATTTGGATTCACTCTCGGTTTCCCTTCAAAGCCTCCAAAAAAGAGCTCCCTAAAAAAAGACAACCCATATAGAACCTTCCACAACAGCCAGTCAATAGCCATGTCACGTTTCGGGGTCCACATGGTCACTAATCGACCTCCTTGTCATCTAAACGAGTCCATGTTTTTGTTGAGCACCCATTAGAGGATGGGTGTTAACGGGAAACTAACGGGAACTCCCCCCGCGTTTTCGTGATCCAACATCCCCTGTTTGTCACCAACCACTTCTTCTGGATGGAATGCGATCTCCCCAAGCTTCTCGGGCCCTTGTCATCTGACGTCCGCGTAAGGCTGATGAAACGAACAAGGAAAACAGCATTGTTGGACTAGCCACACAGCCATCAAAACAAATGATCACACATATACAATGCCAGCTCTTTCCAATTTCAAAATCAAATGCACATAATCATTAACCATCATTGTATTGCCAAATTTCATTAGTTCATTGATTCATCAGAATTAATTCCAAATCCTTCATTCTTCAGAATTGCAACGCAATTTCCGCACATCAATCCATACTAACGATTTGTCAACTCAAAGTATATGTATACACATTTCATTTACAAACGGATAAAACAGAAGTCTTTACAACGTCGAGCCCAACTCAATATTAAGCATTGACAGTATTGAGGCGATGACTATTGATTTATTTGACGACACATAGTAATACTATCTATATTCTTACATAGATTTGCAGCCATCATTTTCCGGCATACGTTCATTTGGATTTCCTCAGTGCAACGCATTGAAGGCACAGGCGCAAACCAAACCAAGGCATCTCTATGGCGGCCAAGGCGCTTGTAGCGAGACAGCAAGGCATCGTCCTGTTCCGACTCCGAGTCCCCGCCTGAGGTACGGGGCAGAAATGTGGCGCCGAGCTGACCCCCCGCTGACCCCCGTTTTTTTTTGGGAGTTGGTGCCCATTCTTCTTGATTGCTGCTGAGCCCGCTGCATTTTTTTGCTATTTTTTTGTGGGTGTAGTGGAAAGCCCCTTGATTTCCCAAAAAGTTAAAGTCTAAAGATCCAACCCAATAGTCAAGTCTTGGGGGAAAAGGACTTGCCATTGCCATGTGGGAACCCAAGAGCGAGACACATAGAAATGACAAACAGTGTGGGCCATGGCTCCCTTTAGGCATCCAGGTCGAAATTCCCCAAACGTTGAAGCACACAAGTATATGATGGCACAACCATCCCTGCCAATCCCAAAGCATGTTGTGATATGGGTATGAATTTTCATTGGGGGCCCTTTGGTGGACATCATTTAGGTATGTATTTATGTCCACCACCCACTTTTCAGGTGGTTTCCCATTCAAGTTCATACCCATATGCGTGTGTTGCGAGCTGGGACGCTGTTGCTTGCAGAAATTCCCCCCGGTCACAGGTCCAAAGGTGGCCACTGCAAAGATCGCTTCAACCGCTGAGGCTGAAGCTGCTTTGGGCCAACACCGCACCGTCTGCTGTGCGCTTCAACCCCGACCTCGAAGACATCGCAGTGCGCTGTTTGGGGGGTGTTTCTCAAAAGTGACCGAGTCCTGGAGCTGGGTTCCTGTTGGTTTTCCGAGAAAATACAAACACCAGCAAAGTTTCCCTTTGAGAAACTCCCGAGTTCGGAATACGGACTCAACTTGCAGAAGAGATCTCGGCCAATTGCACATGTCGACCCCGGATGAATGAACCTCGTAGACGAACAGCGGGGCATGTTTCCCCGCGACTTTTTGAATCAGTGCTAACATCAAATCCAGCTCCTCTCGCAACCACTCCCAACATATTTCTCAGGTTCGAGCTTCTTGTCCTTCTTCTTCTCCTTCTTCTCCTTCTTGCTCTTGTTGACCACCTCCCGTTTTCCCCAACGGAACCGCGACACAGACAACGTGGCGAATGGCCTTCAGCGCCCGTTTGGTGTCGTCCTCCTGCTGGGCCAAGCGTTCGTTCCTCGTCCTCGGCGTCGATCCGATGCTCTCTTAACTGATCGTACGGTCAACGGACCCAAGAAGCAAAACGCAAAAACAACGCGTGCTTCTGAGTTCACCTTAGACAACTCAGCTAAACCTAGGCAAATCTTTTCTTTGTTTGTCATTTTGGTCAGAGGTAAAGGTGTAAGATGGCCCAACACATCCCATGGTCGCGGCATTCCCCCCAAGCGCCACAGGGGCTTGCGTGCGAGGGTCCAAACCTTTTGCCACACTTTCCGCTCCCATTAAGAACAAAAACACACACACACACACACACACACACATGTGGTTTGTCCAGGAACTGATCATTGGAACTTTGGGACCAGAATTTCTCTTGAGATCCAAGAACACCAATTTCTGATCTCAGTGAACCAGAATGGGCCCAGCAACGCTTTTCTGGGACCCCCAACTTCTCGAGCTTCGCAGCGTAGTCGTCGAACTCATTGGATCCAGGAACCCCCGCCTCTCCAATTCGCGAGCCGAGACCCTCGCTTGGTTCGGAAAACCATCCGCACATGAAGTGAGATCCACCCCCTCAGCCTAGTTCGAGAACCATGTTCTCATGGTCAAAGGTCCCACCAGTTGTTTCACCTGTTGTAGGTGCCGCCAATTCCCCAGTTTCATATTTTGTCCGAGCTTTTCTCCTTTTTCAAGATCCCAGCTGTTCCCTCAGTTCGAATTTCGGAAAAAACTTTGCCTCCTTAATGTTGGTCTCCGCCAGGCGGGTCTTCAGCTCATCCCAGGACACACGCCTTCGGGCGTTACAGCGGCTGGCGGGCTGAGGGGGTGGGGGGGTGGGGCGGTGGGGTGGGCTTTGTCATAAGGATGGGCGAGGGGACACAAAAAGATGGGGGCTTGTCCAATGGGAGTCCAATTCTTTATGACATAACTTGGACACAAATTTCCATGGGGAGAGGAGTTGGGCTTCGGAGAAATGGGCTTGGCCAATGGGACCTTTTCTGACATGGGCTCTGGCTTCCTTTGGGCTTCTACTTCAATCCGCCCCCCAAACAAAGGTGCCAGCAAGAACTGGCAAAAACCGACATACCCAGGCAGGATTTGGACCGCAGACCCATCTCCCTGGGGCATGATTCTCATTTGGGGATTGATGTCCAACAATCCGTGCAGCCAAACAATCCGACTGAATTTCGCTGCGTTCCGCCCATCCCATCGCTGGGACGAAGGCTTCTGCTCCTTCATGATGTCCATGTGCCCAAGCCTCGCAAGGCCGCGCCGCTTGCCCGATTCCAAGCGAGGTAAACACCCCCAAAGTGTCGCAGGTTTGTCAATCGACTGAGCATGGGGCCCCATGCTCATAACTACTACTCACTTCCTTCCTTGCGCGTACTCCCATCTGGTAAGATCTGGGGGGAAGGAACAAACACCGGAAACCCCGCAACGAACCAGACCTTGAATCTCCTTCGTCTTGTTTTCGCCCTTGGCTTCCCTTTTCAACCACCTAAACGGTGTTATTTTTCTATATTTTTCTTCTTTGTTTCCGTGACGCATTCAGTCTCCCAAGCCGATCGGCGACCTGAACAGGGGGTCCCCCGAAGTATTGTCCCCGCAAAACAAAACAGGAACCTCACCTACGACCCAAACATGTGTTGTTGAAACCAACGCAACGGGGAACTCCTCCGAGAATCTTGAGTTCTGACCTGGCATCTCATCTCGGCCATTAAAAACAACAACTATTCTCGGTGCTCCCCTGCCAACAGCTTGACTTCTAGCGGTTTGATGGAAACCCATTCGTTGGATCAAAATGCACCAAAGTTTTCGCAGCAAAGTGGAGGGACCAATCCAACATGATTGCGAGACCGGCAGTGAATGCGGTCCGCCTAACTTCCTTCTTCTCCTGCGGCTTCTCCTCCGGCTTCTCTTGCCTCAGCTTGGCAAGCATCAACTCCAAGCGCAGGGGATGACTCTCTCTCTCTCTCTCTGGCCTTCATGGGCTCTCGCCCGCTTTACCCCCGCAGAATCGCTCGCCAACCCAAAGAAATGCAGATGTATATCAACCTCAACCTCTCCAATTCTGCGACTGACCTGGGCTTCACCAGTCGATGAGATAAATGGCTTGACTCCCCCAAGGCAGCCTCTTTCGCAAGCTCCGCCCTGGCAAATGGCCACTTTTGCAAAAAAAGCAAAAACAAAAAACACTTGAAGAGTTCTACATTTTTTTGCAACCGCCTTCTAACAGCATCCTTCCGGTTGCTCCGGTGGCTCAGTCCCCTGCTCCGGCATCTCCTCCACTTTCGGCCGCGCGGGGCCTTGGGGCACCTTCGGCCGCGAAGGGCCTGGCCGACGCGCGCATCGCCCCGGGAATCGGCGGGAGGGACGGCCTGGCCAAGGCTTTCTGAGCTGTTGAGACAGCTTCCCAGCACCAGATCGTTTCGGATTCTTCGCTTTTCTCTTGAAGCCCAGGCAGCTTACCACAAGTAAAAAATTGGAAGTAGACACATGACCCATCGGCACGCTTGCCCGTGCCTGATTGCGTGGCAGTCAATTCTACCCACAGAAGTCAACTAGATGAGGGTTCACCATTTCGGACCCAACTAGAATTCACGCCCAGGTAAATTCGTTTTGCTGGTTGATCTCCAAGCAAGTTCAGCTAGGATCCACCCAACTAGCCCAACGAAATAGCATCCGATCCACTCTGCGGCTCACAGACTTCCAGCCTGCCGGTTTCGCCGCGCTGGCCTGGCAATTTCTGCCGAAAGCTATGCGAAGAGGCTCAGGCCCAAGGAAAGTGGGGTCTATGATAAATAGTGCGTGCCTGGATGTATGGGGTATGAGTGTCAAAATCAGTACCCAGAATGGGTTGCCCCGGCAAATGGAAACAACGACTAAAACCTGCTGTCCCAAGGATGGTGTAATTTTGACCCAACCTCCTATAAATTTAAATATTTATAGCTATGTATGTATATTAATACACATTCCTGGCGTGTGTTTGCATGCAAGACGGAGCATGACTCATGTAAGACCCTGTCAACATAAATAATGGTTTTCCTTTGGTCCATTTGGCGCAGTCAACCCCCTATCCCCTTCCTCATAGGGTATCGCTTGGCGGGAAATGAGTGCAGCAATTGAACCCCGACGCGGAGGCTACGCTTTGGAAAGGCATGTGCGATAGTCTTCCCATCGACATCGGTCAGTAGGGACAGAAGCCCTGGGTAGTTTCCCTTGCGTCCCTAAACAATCGCAGAAGAAGAAACATGCACACCACCACCCAAGGTTGGCTTGAATAGGCAATCTGAGATGAGCAACCCCAATCCTATAACGTTCTGCGTGGCAAAACAACACCGTGAGTTGCTCACGCTGAAAAGACCACAGCTTCCAACTGAGGTCTGCGAACCCCAACATGGAAGCTACCCAAACCTATAGCCACGGTGAACCAAGGGGTCTGGCTGTGGGAAAATTTCGAGCTCATCCCTGCTCGTCCTGAAGCCCAAATAGACGACAAATTACCATCAAAGGGTTGGGTTACAAAATAATAATAGGGGACAACGGGTGGTTGGTTCCCTCCAAGCAAGTTCCACCAACAACTGTACGATGGAAGTTGTGCACTGAGACTATCAGACCCTCGCCACCTTGAGAGTGCCACACATGGGAACCCGAAGGAAGATTGCTTGAAAAGCAACTGGATGTTTCATCGTGCCTGGGAGATTGGCCTAACCCTCAACAAAAAGACGCCGTTGATGAGTTGGGCTGCAATCTCTTTCTTTTGCACACATATCCAAAATATCCAAAGACAACGTGGGGTACACCCAGTGGTGTTTGTCTGCCCAGTTTCTTGGGAGAGTACCCTCACTCAGGGTTCGGCCCTTGTCTAAACATGTTTGGACCGCTGGTGTTTATTCTCAGTTGACCAACGGACCCAGAAATAACAGGTTAGCCTTTTGGGGCCACGACTAAAACCATTGTTTCCCTTGCTCTGGTCAAAAGGTCGATTCGCTTTGGGCGAGTGAGCCCGTTGATCTCTCTTTAAAGGTGATCAGGGCAAGTGGCCAGTCCATTCGGCAGGTGAGTTGTTACACACTCCTTAGCGGGTTTCGACTTCCATGACCACCGTGCTGTCAAAATGACCCACCCTGTGGTGGGTTTTGACACAAATTCTGCCCTGCCCTCCCCAAACGTCTCGCCTCCTGAGGAGGATCAGGACTGGCTTCACCTGGACCAGCAGGACCCGGCGGCCCGCTGGGGCCTGGCCCGCTGGGGCCAGCGCTCGGACCGGCCTTGGACAGAACCAACGGAGAGTGGGTTTCCAGTGGTCTCAAGCAACCCAAAAGCGCTCCCTCAAAAGCTGAAACTCCCAGATCTGCCAGCTTTACAAGAGTTCCAAAGCACGAAATGAGAAATGGATCCCCAAGGAATTCAAGAACCTTAGTCATTGCGAGCTCGCTTTGACCCCGGATCGGCGTGCCATCATCCAACATGTTAGTATCCTGCATCAAACCTGGTATCTTGCATCCATGTGCAATTTTGGGTTCTCCTCCGATTGTCCTTTTGTGTCCCCAAAAAGCCACCTCAGCAACAGGAAATTCATGGCTTAAATGGGCCCACGTGATGTTAGAACCACTCATTCAATCAAGCTCTGAATGGCTTATGGGCGTGTTTGCGGAGAGGTTGAATCCACCTTTGCTCGCCTTCCCGCTGGGTTGGAAGTAGCATCCAGGTCTCCAGAAAATGAGTGCCAAGGGTCCAAGCCGTCGCCTAGGAGTGGTTCTTCCCCGTGATTTCTCGTACGTTTGCTCGCATCGTTGCTCAATCACATCCTCAGCAACGTCACATTTGTTGAAGTCATTGCGGAGGGTACGATTGTACTTCTTTCTTTGCTATGTATATATATATATATACATACATATATATATATATTATACACTGTGTCCGTGTGTTTGTATGGCTTTGGAAAATACACAAAGCAAGCGTTGGGCTTTTCAAGTTGCAGATGGGACACTGTCCCGTTTGGCTTTGGCTTCTAAGTTGCGCAAGCAGGGAAAAGGACGTCATTCTCATTTCAGGGACACATCCTTGGACGCAAGTTGGCGTTGTTGTCAGCTGGGATGTGGAACTCCCACACTGGAGGAGATGCTTCGGCTTCCCTTTGGTCGTGCCTTTAAGACACGCCCGAGGGAAAACAATGTTTGTATCATCTTAGCCAGGTGCCTTGGCCTGTGCTGAACATCGCTGCGCACAGAAAATCCCTCCAAATGCAAAAACTAGACCACGGTTGGCCCGAAAGCAGAACATCGCAAGCGAGGTTGTCCGCACAGTCCGCGTCAAATCCAACTGCCTCCTGCAGCAAAAACTCTACAGCCCGTGGCTCTGGAAGAAACCCTCCACATCGGGCGGCAAAACCTTGTTAGTCTTCGCAGCCCAGTCACGCGCCGTTTTTTGGCACGACCTACATCCGGGGTCTACGTGTGCTACTTCTACGTAGTGCCGCATGCAAGTCAGACTTCGGGCTTCCGCTGCGTAGAGAAAGAGGTACTGCAGCTTCTTCTCCAAGCCGAGCTTCGAATCATTCTCGTGACGGCGCCAGTTCGCGCAGTGTGGCTGCCGATCACAAGGAGATCGCAATCCGTCTGTGCTGCGCGCAGTCGCAGACTGCCCTTGGCTTCCGCGTGGAGGTTGAGGAAACTGCGAGGAACCAGAGCTCGTGCCACCAGCTGGACCATGTTGGCCATCAGCACCTGTCCTCGCACCCACACCCATTTGCCAGAAAAAAGAACATGATTTGCCAGACAAAAAAACAAGTATTACAGTTCGCTCCTCATTCACGCACGCACGCACAGACCCGCAGGAAGCGCAAACACAAACGCACACACATACACACGCACACACACACACACACAAACCAACAGAAAAATGCAACCGCGCGCACGCATGCACGCACATATGCACGCAACAGCTGCTTGGGCACGTGCCCTGCGCGCAAGTTGCTCTGCACAAGTGCTTTGTGCAACTTGCTCTGTGCAAGTTGCGCTGCGCAAAGTGCTCTGTGCAAGTTGCTCTGCGCGAGTTACGCTGCGGAAGTTGCTCTGCAAGTTGCTCTGCGCAAGCTGCTCTGCGCAAGTTGCTCGGCGCAAGTTGCTCGGCGCAAGTTTTGCAGCTGGAGCTGCAGGAATGTACTCCGCGTACTACTCTTGTGATTTTGGAGCTGGAGGTGCGGGAATGTACTCCGCGTACTACTTTTGCACTTAAAATTTGCGACTTTCAGCTGGAACTGCGTGCAGCCAGAGCTGCCGCGGACCAGGCGGGGATCGCACCCGCGACCGCGCGACATCGGAGAGCAGCCGCGCAAACCACGAGACAATTGCCAAAGACAAATTCGCAAGCAAAAAGCACGCAAAAAAAAAGGGAGACAACTCCCGAGGACTACGTGTGCTACTTCTACGTAGTGCCGCATGCAAGTCAGACTTCGGGCTTCCGCTGCGTAGAGAAAGAGGTACTGCAGCTTCTTCTCCAAGCCGAGCTTCGAATCATTCTCGTGACGGCGCCAGTTCGCGCAGTGTGGCTGCCGATCACAAGGAGATCGCAATCCGTCTGTGCTGCGCGCAGTCGCAGACTGCCCTTGGCTTCCGCGTGGAGGTTGAGGAAGCTGCGAGGAACCAGAGCTCGTGCCACCAGCTGGACCATGTTGGCCATCAGCACCTGTCCTCGCACCCACACCCATTTGCCAGAAAAAAAGAACATGATTTGCCAGACAAAAAAACAAGTATTACAGTTCGCTCCTCATTCACGCACGCACACACACACACACGCACACAAACCAACAGAAAAATGCAACCGCGCGCACGCATGCAGGCACATATGCACGCAACAGCTGCTTGGGCACGTGCCCTGCGCGCAAGTTGCTCTGCACAAGTGCTTTGTGCAACTTGCTCTGCGCAAGTTGCGCAAAGTGCTCCGTGCAAGTTGCTCTGCGCGAGTTACGCTGCGGAAGTTGCTCTGCAAGTTGCTCTGCGCAAGCTGCTCTGCGCAAGCTGCTCTGCGCAAGTTGCTCGGCGCAAGTTGCTCGGCGCAAGTTTTGCAGCTGCAGCTGCAGGAATGTACTCCGCGCACTACTCTTGTGATTTTGCAGCTGGAGGTGCGGGAATGTACTCCGCGTACTACTTTTGCACTGAACATTTGCGACTTTCAGCTGGACCTGCGTGCAGCCAGAGCTGCCGCGGACCAGGCGGGGATCGCACCCGCGACCGCGCGACATCGGAGCAAGTCGCTCTGCGCAAGTTCCTCTGCGCAAGTTGCTCTGCGCAAGTTGCTCTAGGCAAGGCGCTCTGCGCAAACTGGTCGGTGCAAATTGGTCTGCGCAAGTTGCTCTGTGCAACTTGCTCTGCTGCGCAAGTTGCTTTAATATGCAAGTTGCATCTTGCGACGCCCGCCCGCGGACCAGGGAGGAATCGAACCCGCGACCCGCCGGTTCCGGGAGCAGGCGCGCGAACCACGAGACAACTCCCGAGGACCAGTTCGAACAACAAAAGTCGCAAAAAACCTCGAGTTTTTGCACCTCGACCACGCCGATCCCCGCAGAGGGTCGATTTTCGTGTAGTGTCGTCGGCACTACCCCGCCGCCCTAAGAAGAGATTTTAACTCCTCGCAAGTCAATTGCACTTGACTCCTTGCACTTGCAAACTTGCACTTGAGTGCAACTTGCACTTGACTCCTTGCACTTGCAACTTGCACTTGATTCCATGCACTTGCAACTTGCTCTACACACTTGCAACTTGCACTTTGCTTGCTTGACTCCATGAATGATGCAATGACTCCTTGCAATGACTCCTTGCAATGACTCCTTGCAATGACTGCTTGCAATGACTCTTTGCAATGACTCTTTGCAATGACTCCTTGCAATGACTCCTTGCAATGACTCCTTGCAATGACTCCTTGCAATGACTCCTTGCAATGACTCCTTGCAATGACTCCTTGCAATGACTCCTTGCAATGACTCCTTGCAATGACTCCTTGCCATGACTCCTTGCAATGACTCCTTGCAATGACTCCTTGCAATGACTCCTTGCAATGACTCCTTGCAATGACTCCTTGCAATGACTCCTTGCAATGACTCCTTGCAATGACTCCTTGCAATGACTCCTTGCAATGACTCCTTGCAATGACTCCTTGCATTGACTTTCATGATGATGATTCCTTGCAATGACACCTTGTACTGACTCTCATGAGAACAACTCAAGTGAACCCAGCGGAAGAACCCTTCGCCATGCTTTCGGGAAAACACAAAATAACAAAACACCTGGTATGTCTATGTTTCTTGTTTGGGATTCATGTCCAACCACTTCCGGTTGGCAGTTCCACCTGAAACCCGCCATTTTCCCAAGCGATGTGTAGCTCACTGGGCCCCAGGGCCGCCGGTCCGGACGGGCCGGGGCCAGATGGGCCGGCGGGGCCGGGGCCGAAGGACTGAAAGGTGGCGCCTCGCCGAGGGCCCCGTTTCGGCGGCGAAGAAACAGGGCCGAATCGTCCCACATGGGTGTGGCTCAAAATAAATCACGGGGGGCAAACCAGGGTTCCATTGTTGGTACCGGTTTTTTGAGCCACAGCCACATTGGGCTTTTTGTCCTGGGCAAGTCTCTGGGCGAGACTTGCAAACAGATAGGAAGGGGCCATGGATACATGTCCCGAAAAAACCAGGTCGGGTCGCATTTGTCAGTGGCGAATTCAAAAACCGGAATTCCAAAATGGGTTGCCCTAAGTGGAAACATGGGTACCAAAGCCTGCGGTTTGCCCCTCCTGTTTCATTTTGAGCCACACCCACATAACAAACACCAATATTGGGAGTTGATGTCTTTCTTCCTCGTCTTCTCAACAAACGGAAACGTTATCTTGACAAGCAGTCAGAAGAACCACTGTCCAAGAAATCTCACCTTCATTCTTTTGATTCATCCTTTAGGTCAAGTAAAGCAGATCAGAAAGCACGCGCACAAACACCTCAAGTCCCGCAAACATGTACCACCTCCTCCAGATTAACGGAAGAAACACGAAAACAAGCGTCCCTCAGAAGGATGCACATTCCTCTAGCAGATTGAGGAAAGACACCTCGAGGCAAAGCATCTTTGGCCCTTTCTTGGTTTTCTTCCACTCAACACATTGGAGAATCAAGTGGGAAGGTCATTTCCTAAAACATCGCAACATATCTTTCGACAATGGGTGATTCGGCACCCTGTAAAGAAAGACTAAAGCCACCGATCGCGTTTGATGTGATCCCTGGAGCCTAAGAAACGATGAGTTCAGAGGAACCGCCTTTTGGAGGGACCCCCCCCTTGGGGCTGATTCTGTCGATTCGCAGGTAGCTCAGCGCCAGACCAGAAATGTCCAGCTTCTTGCTAGTGCCGCCACCCAACAATGCGCTGATCGCCTTGGACACTAGCGCACACGGCACACTTCTGAAGGTTGCGGTATGGTCAACCTGTTCCTCACATGAGTCACAATCAACACCCGGTACTAAAATGGTTGAACCCACCATGTGAGGAAATACAAAGGTGGTCACAACTATTTATGGCTGGGATTGTCCCTTACTAACCTTCATCTACCCGGGTTTTCATTGTGGCACACATGCAAATTATTGGAAGCACTGCTGCATGTCTTGTTTCCCCGACATAGGACACCTCGCTTATATGACGTTTGCCTTTCATACTATCCCACCATGGAGGGAGGGTTCCTAATCATAGGCGGCCTTTTGGACAAATGGATGGCTCTGGTACATGGAATGCACCCCATCTAAACCAGCGGAACCCATCTATTTTTAACCAGACTAAGCCTTCAAAAGGACTCCCACCGGTCCAGGGGGTGGTAGAGAGGTACCAGGGTACCCACCACCCCAGGGGTATGCTCCTGAGTTTCAAGAATAATCACCCGTGCATCCGCTGCGCCAGCCTTGTTCATGTCGTGTTTTTGCTGCTCCTCTTTCTCCTTCTCCTGGTGGCAACAACATGCAATCAAGGGCTTTTCTCTCCTGCAGACCCTCCCACTAACAGAAGGCATTTGTGGGAAGTTACCTGGAAGAGCATTTCCTTCCAGGTGACCTCTGTCAGGTGCCATGTGAGTGGTAGCCAAATCTCTCACCTGTGTCACACCGGGGCTGCATAGACTGTTGGTTGGGACTGCCCCTAATGCCCTTCATCTACCTGGCGTCTGATGGTTCACTTGTTACAGGGTTGCCTATAATTCACTTTCAACATCACCCCACCAATACTCAACTCACATTGGCCCAAAAGGTGATGTAAGGCCACCAGGGGATATACCGATTTGACCCTCGTTACTCCCCGATTGACCGCACCTTTGCTGCTCGTCTTTCCCTCCTGATCCGCTTTGCGCGATCCTTGGCCCGCGCACGTCCCAAAGTACGGGCCCGTTTTTGCAGCGGAAGCGGAATCCCTAGGACACCCACCACCCATGCGGGTGTCAGCTTGGAGAAGCTCCTAGAACCACCAAAAAACCCACCGTTGAGAATCTAATCTCCTTTCCGTTTCCTTCTGTTACCCCTGATTGGCATAGGGAACAATAAGGCGGCCCCCCAACAGAAAGGATCTTCTAACATTGATGGTTTTTTGGGCTCTGCGTGGATCTGTACTGATGGTCAAGCTTTGCGAGCCTTGTCGACACTGAGCGCTTGACATGGTCGGTTTCAAACTCCTGGCGCGTCCCGTGTCTGAAAACTTTGCCAAGGGGATGCATCTGGGCCCTCAGATCCCCTGCTAAAAGTTTAACTTTTAGTCTTTTAAAGGAAACTACCACCGAACACTCAAAATCTAAAAGGCTAAGGGGATGGCTGGGAGCCACCAAGGCATTTGGGGGTTGGTGTGTTTGGGGTGATTTGGGACGGTTTTGCTTTGGCTTTGGGGTCGTCTCAGCTCTTGCCAGGGGTGCGACCCAAAACTTTAGCAGTCCCAAACATGGAGGCTGTCTAAAAAGCATCTTTGGCAGATCCTTGCTTACTATTTTTGATAGAAAGAAAAGGATATGTCTTTACATCCCCAACATTGCAGTTTGACACCACGGAAAGGCGGAACAACCTCCAGCTTTTTGTTTGTCACAAACAATTACAGTCTAGCCCAAACCTCAAAAGCATCAAGCTTTCAGCATTACTCCCCGGCCTCCCCGGTTTTCTTGCGACCCAAGGACACGTCCACGTCATCTGCGACGGTGGGGTCCTGCAGACAGCGGAAAGACCGCAGACGCGGACCTGTGGATTTCCATTGGAAAAAACCCGGGTGCCCGTTGCTCAGAGCAATTCCAAACATTCTCCCATGGGGTAGTGTGGCAAAAGAGTCAAGGCCCCGAAAGTTTAGCATTTGGTATACAACCAAATAAAGATTGTGATGTGGTTACACACCCCCATGGACTTGGGGGGGGGTGCGTAATGCTGTGACCCTCTTAGACACCAGCCTGCATGAATGTGGTGGCCTGCTTGGTCCTTCCAAAAGCAGCGGGCGTCATCCAGGTTAGAAGTTGAACCCCCTCGAATTCTGCATGGGATTTGCAGGGCAAAGCAAACATCATGGATTTTTTTGGGTGCGCAAAATATGAAGAGGTTTCTTCTCCCAATGGCAAGGGAATTGCCCCCAAATACCTCCCATCCAACCGAATCGGCTTTCACTGTGGCTGCTGGGGTGTGTGTCTGAATGCAATATGGACCCCCCGCCCCAACGGACATGCTGCGATATGCGTGTGCAACAAGAAAGGGTACCAACTCCAAACAAGGAGTGGTGGCTCGTCAGGGTTTGGTGTTTCAAGCGGACACACAAAATGGAACCCGGACCATCCGGGACCCCCTTGCCGATGTGGTGTTTCTCCCAAATCCCTATGCTACCCAAACAAGTTCCCTTTAGTGAAGTAAAAACGTCTTCCGTGTTCATCATTGTAGCCAAGGGCAAAGATGTAAGATGGGGCCACCCATTGACCCAGCAGGAAATAGAACCGTGCACCAAATTTCACATGCGTGAGTCCTCAAAGGGGGTACCCTCACAAAACATGCGCCCCAAACGAGGCTTCAAATGGAAAGGTACATCAAGTTCCAAATGGTACTTTTGCATCTTGATTATCTGGAATTTACAATTTGGAATTGTACCAAATGAAAAGCAAACCATAGAGATATGTGTCAAAAGGGGACACTACAAAAACGGGTGGCTTCCTTTTGGTTTCACTTTGAAAACTGCAAAAGGGAACTTGCCAACCCCGAAAAAACACACAGAAATCCCGAAACTGGAGACTCGGCCTTCGTTTTGGCTCCCCTTTCAAGCCACCAAGAAAGGGCGGGGAACCACCTCCAAAACCCACGAGCCTTCAGAAGCTCGGGGCCATAGACCGAGGACCTCGTGTTCGACGGGAAGCGGGGCATGGCTGGGATTTGAGGAGGGGGTCAGAGAAAGGAGGTGTCGGGTATTTTTGGAGGCTGGCCCTCTTTTTTTGCTGGGGTTCTCTTCCCGGGTCCCCCGATTTATATTTTTTTTTGAGCCCACCCCGCATTTGTGTTGCCCTTAAAGTCGCCTAAGTGGCAGGTGAAAGGGCAACAATCCTAGGTGAAAGGGCGTCCGACCCACAAGGAGATCTACCCATTCGAACGGGTTTTCGGATTCCGTGGTGTACTGCAGGTAGTTGGCTTAGCAAATAAAGCTACCAGGGTTGGGAACACCAGCCCGACCCCAAACAAACATCTCACTGCCCGAGTGGATTGGCCAAACAAGTCACCAGACTTTTTGGTTTACCACACAAATGGTCCAAACCCAAACAGTTTAAAGTCCATGAGCTCAGGGAGTGAGACATAGGTTGAACCACTTGCACAAGGGAAAACATAAACCATGCCAGATTCCTCGGCTTTCCCAGCTTCACATTCCCATTGCCCCATCGAGACTCCGGCATGGCCGCTTCTTGATCCCGAAGCAAGCGCTGTGTCGAGTCTCAACTTGTCTGGCACAGTGTTGTCTGGGATCTCCATGCGTCAATTTTCTCTTACTCCCATGTTTGATCTGAATTCTGCGAGTCGGCATCCACATGCAACCTCCATGACAAGCTTGCTTTCTGCTCCCCTGCTAAAAGTTTAACTTTTAGTGGTTTACTGGAAAACCCATTAGTTGGCAAAAAGTTAAAGTCCCAACATCCAAGCAACATGCACGAAGGATGATGCTCTTGTCTTGTGGGTGTGTCTCAAGACTCGGCGGAACCAACCCAGTCGCACGATTCTTTTCCTTTCGCCACACCTGCAGCGCCTGCTGCCAAGGCTCCTCGACTTGGACAAAGCTTCTGGGTCACGGTCTTGATGTCATTGATAATTCCCCTACTGTAGACGGATGTACACATATGCCTAGAGCCCTAGGCTGGCGAATCTGTGATTTGTGCCTTTTGGCTTCTAAATCCCTAGGATTCAATCCCCCAAGAAAACAATGGAGGGTAATGTTGACGCCGGATGAATAGGGGGGCATGTTCCCTCCAGAAGTGGTGTGAACCCCACCAAAAGGAGTTGGACACCCCCAATCAAACACAACTAGGGATTCTGCCTAACCAAAACTCCCATTACAGCGTAGCATGGATGAACATGGACCATGGATTATTTCGTGGGAATGCTTCACTTGGCCGACTTATATTAACCACACCCATTTCTTGGCGCTACTCCCAGAAACCTTTGACTCGATTCCTGCAGGCCTTGGGACCCGGGAAACCTGGCTGCACGTCTCGCATGGTCGCATTTCGTCCAGGCCATCGCAACCCGTGTTCCCCTTTACACAACATACAAGAAGCCACATAGCCTTTGAGACAATGGTTACCCTAACTGACACCAAAGGGGTACCACGAAAAACCAAACTCCCAAAAGGAGCAACACAAGTTTTTGGGGAACTAAAACTGTATCAGAGACATGGTTGCAATCCCCATGACTTGGGCATCTGCAAGGAGGCGCGGTCCCCATTTTGACACACCAAAAAGGTGTCCCCATCTTCCTACCATCGGGTGACATTTCGCTTTTGTCCTGCACAAAGGCGTGGAGCAGCGTAGCTGCAACCAGGCACAGCAGCAGTGAGCCCAGCGTGTGGCTAAGCAAAGCCTGCACGGCGCCACTACGCGACCTTTGCATGGGGGGGGGGGGGGGTCCGGCATTTTTCAATCCTAAATTCTAAATGTATTCTTGTTGGCCTCGTTGTTTACCTCAGCTCTTGGTTCTGGGTGCCAAAAAGCCCGCCGACAGAATCGGCTGGGATCTGGAGCATCTTGGGCCTGCGGGAAACCAAGCGCTCGCACTGAGCTCCTGGCGTAATACGTGAACTCCAGGCAGCTTGCCTGGGCAAACACGTCTGGTCCCCGGATGGAGAAAATCCCTCCAGGCTCAATGTGGAAAAAGTGGCCCAATAGCAAACCACACCAAACCACACCAACCCACGCCAAACCACGCCAAACCACGCCAAACCACACCAAACCACACCAAACCAAACCCAACCAACAATTCACATCGGCTCAACGCAAGCAACAACGGATGTGTACAGAGCTTTGAGTCCAACTTTGTGTCTCGGCATCACACACCGCGAATAAACGCAGCGCACTGTGGCCGAAAACACGTGCGCCAAACCACCAAGAGGGTGGGTTGAGGCTCAGTACCCTTTTGTGGGTTGTTTATGGTTGTTTCATAGGGAAACCGGACACCGGGACACGCACTTGTCCTTGTCTTGTTTTTGGTTCAACAAATGCCCGAGATTCGAGACCTCCAGACACCACATTCCCACAACTCAGTGGGCGTAGTTTTTGGCGAGCGGCGTGCCAGGAGAGCAGCAGGATCCGGAGCAATGATGGGCTCAGGATGAAGACACCTAAGGCATCCAAAGACAGGGGTCAATTTGGACCTCTGGATTTCCATCAAATGCGCCTCAAACCCAAAAAAGACAGGAACACGGCCGGAAATCGCGGGGCGCCTACTTTGAAGGGTACCCTTTGTTGGAGGAAAAAGGATACAGCCCATGTTTTTTTTTGGCATCCCTTCCTTGCCGCACACGGATCTCGCCACTCGCTCGCTCACTTGCTCAGAAAGGCACCGAACGCCAAGCGGTCCAGGGCGCACAGCAAGCCTGTCAAAGGTCTCGAAGCACAAACACTGTGTTTTGCGTGCTGTTCTCAGGGAATGAGGTGGGTCCGGTAATAAGCCAACATCCTGAAAAGTGCCCTAAATGCTGCTTAAAGGGCCTCAAAATGGCCCCAGTTGAGTCATAATCAAAACCCGGTGCTAAAATGGTCTACCCAGACCCATGTAAAGGATTTAGAAGGCGGCCGCAGCTATTTATGGTTGGGATTCTCCCTTGCTAATCCTCATCTACCCGGGTTTTGATTGTGGCTCAGTTGAAAACTTTTTGGGGTGAACCAAGATTCTGGGCCTGGGCTTCTGGTGGACGGCTGCCGCAGCAAGCCCAGCAGCGCCAAGTGCAGTGAGACGAGGCTGGCGAGCCGGACCTCAACTCACTCGCTGGGGGTGCACTCAGGGCTTGCCTCATGGGATTTGGGAACTCTTCTAGGGGTTGAATCATAGGGAAACCAGCAGGACACGCACTTGTCCTTGTCTTGTTTTGGGATTAACCGATACCCTAGATTGGAGACCTCCATAGACCATTCTAGGGGTTGGCTCCCCATTCTTTTCAACCATCGTTCTTTCCGAACACCGGCCATGTCCCCAGGGTTTCCAGAGGTTTTCTGGAAAGAAGGATCCCTGGGAAGAATGGAAATGGAAGGTAGCCCTAGAACTCTGCGGATTAACATGGAATCCCAACAACCGGTGGCTTTCCAGGGCAGGGGGCCAATTTTATCTTGCCGGTTGAGGTTCCCCACATCTTTTGGACCCTTTGAGACTTCATTTTTGAGTTGGGTGGTCCTGGTTTGCGTAAAGGGCCGCCGATAGGAGGCCATCCTGACAGTTGTAAACCATCCCAAGTGGATTGACACACACCAAACCTCCAGTGGCCAAGGGACAGGTCATGTTTTTGTTTGGGCGGTTGATTTTCAAGCAACACCCCCCCCAAAAAAAAAACAAAGCAGAAGCAGCGCACACATGCCAAAGCGGCCAAGCAGCCATGTTCCAAATCTGAAGCCAGGGCGCATGCGCCTCCTGAGAGCCCCGGCCGGAGTTCGTACCCTGTCTGGGCTTGCCCGTTTACCGAAACCAAAAGGACACCCAAACCAACTTTGGGGAAACAACATGTGTTTCCCCAAGAGGACGCGAGACAATTCGGTGGGCCCCCATGTCTTCCCCAAACCAACAGTCAGCTCGAGCCTGCCACACGCTTGACGATATCCAGTCATTCTTCCTTAAAGGGTTCCTTGTTCACACCAAGCTTTGCCAGATTCACCTGCTACGGTCAGGTTTCTGCCGTGCTTCGACTCCGAAGCCAAATGTCCCCCCACCAAACGCCACGCCTTTCTCCGTTGCAAAGGAGCCCTCACATCTGTTGCGGTTTGCGGCCCCAAGGGCCAATTGGATGCAGGCGGCCGAGCCAATTGCACGAATCCCTAAGATTGCTTTTGCAGGCACAGGCGCTGGAATCTCCGAAGGCAACATAGGGCCTTGGAAGCGTAGGCCCGGCATTCATAGATTCGCCACCCGGTGAAGCCGGATGCGTTCACATACGCGATTACCAGTTCAACTGGGTCGTCTTGATGATGTTGGCAAAGGCCGGGGCCAGCTTGCAAAAGCAGTCCTGTGCGTGAGTCCCTCAGCACAAACCCGCGAAAACACCCATCTCAGCACTGAAACCAAGATTTTCCGACTTGGTCCATATTTCCATCTCCAAAGTGGGCAACATCTCGGCACTGAAACCAAGACTTTCCGACTCGGTCCGTATATGTATCCCCAAAGTGGCACTGAAACCCAGATTTCAACGACTCTGTACCACAGTTCGCCTACCCAACAAAATAGAACATAGCTTTGGAGACAGAACATGGAAGCCTCAATGGTTTCGAGACGAGACGATCAAACGATGAGATCCTTCGTCGCGTACTTCATGCCTTTGGTCTTCTTGCCCGTGGCGGTCACCCGCCCCCCAGAGATGCGCCGCAGCATGATGGCCTCATGTGGCGGGTCGGGGGGTTGGGGGGTTGGGGCAGGGTGGGGGAGGGGCTCTTCTTTTGAGTTGATACATGTCGATGGGTGTGCTTGTTGAGGGCCTTTTTTCCTTGGTTCAATCGGGATGCCTGGGATTATTATGGAACCCCTCAAAATGGCAGGGCTTCGTACCCCAAAACGAAGGACGACGCGTGGTCACGGCCATGGCTTGAAGCAAGTCGCAAGCAAGAAGCTCCGCCCTGAGTTGGGTGTGGCAATCAAAATTGAGGACCCGGAAAGCGACAGACTTGGTTCTCTTTCTACAAATTGGTTGGGAAATACCCTGTGTATATCCTATGTATACCCCTATGTATACCCTATGCAATATTTCTGCAAGTTGGTTGCGGGATGCCCTATGTGAGTGTGTGAGCCATGGGGAGTGGACACTTGATCTAAGGAACCCGGGTCAAATTCCTCCAAAAGGAAAAACGTAACCAGTAGTTTGATCATGGCTATGTGAGTACCCTTTAGACATTTTCGCTTTGTTGAGGCACTGCCAAAAAGGTTTGAAATGGAAACCATTCCTTTGGTTTTACATCCTCATTGGAAGCACAGGCAGTAAAGTCAACATGGAACTTAGTCAACTGGGTACCCTTTTTTCTGTAGTCTATTTTAATTTTAATAGGGAAACCCTCCCAACCAAAAAAAACAGGGTGAGAAAGGGCACCTAGCTGGGGGACCTAGTCGACATCCCATTTTGGGAACGTAATGCTTGCCAATTGCCTCGTCTCAGAATGGTGGAAGCCCCAAAAGGGAGGTGGTTTGCTCTGGCTTCCCTGAGAAACCCCAAAGCAGGAACTCACAAACCGGCACGCCCCCCATGCTTCACTACCCCTAGAATTGACCTTTTCTTTGGGGGGGGGGCCCAAACAGTGGGTCGTTTTCCTTTTGATCTTCCTTTAAACCAAAACAAGGAACAGTGGTATTCTCCAAAGAAACCACCTCTAGCTCCCCTTGACCGAGGAACGCTGCGCAGGAGCAGTGTCGTGGACACGGACTCGGAGATCGAAGTCACGCGGTGCCAGAAGCAACTGGGCGAGCTCCAATACCTTCAGCGCTGTTGGTTCAACTAGGTCCGAATAAGGGTACCAACTTTTTTCTGTAGTCTATGTTGGTAGGGGAACCCTCCCAACCAGAAAAGGGTAAAGGGGCACTACTGGGGGACCTAGTCAAGCATGGGGATGTGGGTGGGTGGGTGGGGATGTGGGTGGGGGGTGGGTGGGGGGTGGGGGTCGGTGGTTGGTGAGGAGATGGCTGGGGATCTGGCGGTAGTGGGCCATACTTTGATGCACAAGGTGAATGGACCCAAAAGGAAACAAAAGGAGCCCATACCAATGTTCGACCCCGGATTGGTCCTTTTGCGAGGTTTCGAGCGAGCCACAAGCCACGTGTACACGTCTCTTTCACCGGCCAAGGGCCAAGACCTGGGTTCCCACAGATCAAGCCCCGGTTTTCCACACGCGTCCTCAGAAGCCACAACAAAGCAAGAGGCCCCTGTGCTTTTTTGCCGATGGGCGAGTTGTTCTTGGCTGGGCGAACGAGTGGATGCAAGCTCAGAAAGCAAGTGGTCAAAGAGCCCCAGGTTTGCTGCTCATCTCAATCTGCAACGCATATGATGCATCCTCCACTAGTGCAAATCTCAACACACATATTGCGAGCGAACCATGAGCATCTGCCCGAGAGACTATGCGTGAGCGTCGACAGTGTGTGCAAACGGAACATTTTACATCACCTTCGGGTAGTCGATTGTTCTCTACTTGTGTTTAGTTCATCTCTATCTTTCCAGTTGATCACTTCATCCACGTTGGGATGTCTCAGAGTTGGGGCACGCTTTTTGCTTGGTTGGCGTTTCAAGCGCATCAACAACACATATCGGAACACAATCACGTGTAGGGGTCCAGCCGATTGAGAATCACAATCCAACCAAGTACTAAAATTAAAAGCGTCTGATGGCATTCCAAAGTCTACACTTTACAGTACATGCCCTTTCTGAAGAGAAACCAAGAGCAGAGGGAAACTTCAAATGACCAGTAATTCGGGTTCTCAAAAATAGCAACCGCATACAGGCGAGTGGTTGCTTTCCTATCGGTTTCCCTTGAAGTCATCCCTTTTTTTGCGATGACCCAATTCGTCCCCTCTGGGACATCTACTCAGCTTTCCCCTGTTTGGTTGTTCGTTTTTCTTGCCACACAAGTTCACGGTTTCCGGCCGTACATTTTCCCACTCATTGCTTACACTTAATGCACGTCCCCCCCCCCCAACCAACCAACAACTAGCTTACCAACTCATCCAACCAACCAACTCATTCAACCTCCAATCAGGCATTCCCAACTCCCCCCCCCCCCCCAACGAACAAAGCATCTGCTATGCAACCAATTTTCGTGCTTGAGCTGTTTCCTTGTTTTGCTGCGCATCCCCCTGTAAAAATCAAATTCATTTCTTGTCAGTGGAAAGTAATAACACATTCCCCCCTCCCTCCAGAGTATGTCCAAGTAGGGGTAGCCCTCAAAAAAAAGGCTTCCCTTTGGCTTCCCGTCAAACCAACCAAACAGGGGTTCCCCGAGCCTCAAAAACGATCCAAGCACGATGTGGTGTAAACATGTTCACAACGAAGGAAAGACCTTGCCCCTGGGTCGCCCCGTCAAAAGGACAACCACGATTCTTCTAGGGGTACCTTCCTCATTCTTTCCAGGGATCCTTCTTTTCAGGAAACCATCAAAAACCCCGGGGAAACAGCCGGTTTTTGAAAAGAACGATGGTTGAAAAGAATGGGAAAGGAATCAACCCCTAGACTTTTGGGGGGTCCCCCCCCAAAAGAAAGGACCTTGCCCCAACAAACTCGAGTCCAGGCGTCCAGTCTCCCGGGCGCATGGTGAAGCGCTTGGTCTTGGCCTTGCCCAGGCCCTTTCTGCAGCCTCTCCTGGCCCCCGACTCGCTGGCAGAGGTTTGGTTCTTTTTTGCGGCAGCTTGTGCTTGACCTACTGTGGATGGACCAAATTCATTTCGCACCACCCCACCTAAGAAACCCTAGAATGATATGATTTTTCTGTAAACACCAACAAACAATGGTTTCCCATGGTGGTGCGAAATGGACTTGGTCCATCCACAGTATGGTTTGTCCCCAAAGCTGGGAAGCCTCATGCAAGTCGCGCAACAAGCGTGTGGAGGGGTTTCCCCTCTGTTTGAGTTTGGAAGCCCTTAAAAGGCAATCCGCACCAAAATTGGGGGGGGGGGGGGGACCCTGTTTGCAAGAATCATGGACGGAAGCTACAATTGTTGGCAAACAAAGGACTTTCTGTCCATCCCGTCTCGAATCAGTTTGATAGTCACATTTGATGCCAATGAGTCCACAACCTTACCGAGCAAAGCAGCTTACCCTGCTTTGGCAGTACTGAGCCGGCCGGCTTGGTTCAATGCATTGCCTTTCCTCGGAAGTGAGAATGGAAGCCCCAGCACCAGCACTGCCAGCAGCATCATCCACCAAAGAGGACATCAACATCACTAGCATCACCAACATCCCCAGAATACACGTCTCCCAGTATTCCAAGTTGGGTGGGGCCCGAACCGAGCAAAGCCTGACCCTGGTAGAAACTTGAAGCCCTTTTCGGTGTTTCACCATTTTCAGCTGCCAAGCCAGCTGAAGACATTACAGGAACAAAGCTCCCTACATTTCCAACCTCAAACCATCTTGGGGGAAACTCAGACGTGTTTCGAGGGAACGAACTGCTTGGGAGCCCTCGGAGGTGTGGCTCCTCTTCTGAAAGGTCTCAATCTCCACGGTGCGCATGCCTTCCTTAGGGAGATTTACCCCTCGAAACATGGCAACTGACAGGAAACTCCCTTCAAAAGGAGATTTGAATCTTACAGGGATCTCCCAGGTGCCTTCTGTTAGTTGGAGGAAGGGTACATGAGATCTTTCGTGGGAACCCGCACCAACCGGCGGCTTTTTGCTGGGTGTCCCTTTCAACAACAAACCACTAAGAAAGGGCACCATGGAACGAAACGAGAGGCTTAGTATCGTTTTGTCCAGGCGGATAATATAGATCCATTGTGGAATTTGTGTCAAGTCATACTTCACTTAGATGCATTTGCAGTACAATTCGAGTAGTTGAGCCCAAGCATTCTCTTTACTTCCCATCAAACATCAGCCAAACCTCGTCAGGCAGTTCAGACATTTTCTGACATAAACATCTCTCAAAAAAGACGGGGACACCAGGTTCGGACTTTTGGATCCGATGGATAATCAGTTGGAGCACTTTAAAACTCTACCGAGCCCTCATTTCCGAGCGAGTGGTTTTGCCCAAACAAGTCTAAACTGTTCATTTGCCAGCAAATTTGCTGCAGTCGGGGTTTTCCGTCCTTTTTGGCTTGGCAAAACGCAACCTGACGTTTGGGCAATCACCATGCGCGAAAACACCTGCCAATCTGGCGAGGTAGTTGGGGGGGGATGCTTACAAGGGGCAACAACGACACAACCCAACATCTTGATCACAAAACCCGCCTGAAGCAAGGAATTCTTAAGGGAGCTTCAAGATGGACCGAAGCCTTTACCTCGCAACAACCATTTACCTCGGCTTTTGTCAGGGAGCGCGAGTACAGCTTCAACAAACAATTCGCCCCTCCTTCTGAGATCAATCCACTCAGCCGTATCAAATTGAGCGGGTGTTCCCCCACGAGCAACAGGTCGATGGCCTGGTTGGCAGGTTCAAAATCGAAGCTGCCCAACTCATCTTTCCTGCACATTAGCACAAGGCACCCAACAAACTACATCCCAGGACATTCCATTCCCAAATGGATGGTTTCCCAGTGGGCCATGGAGAGGGGCCCCATTCTTGGGGCTGATTTTAAGGGAAAACGGGGCACCAATGGGGTCCGGGGCTTTCTTTGGGAGCTACCAGAACCGTCACATCCAAAGAGCCTCGGCTCCAGTGTCGGCTCCTATCGGCACCCTCCCGGTCACCAGCCCCCTCTACGATTGTCTTCCGACCCTTTTTAAAGGAAGGATATGCTATATATATATATATAATATAGATACACATACAAATGCATATGTGTATGTACAACAGTGCTCGCCTCAGGATTCATTTACCGCGCATCCAAGTCAACCTGGCGCTGTTTTCCCTCGCCACCGGGCCCAAAGAAGTCAGCTGCCCAAGCCCCGCTAAGAGGTCGAGGCGCCAGGGTCAGCGCGAGGAAGCACACCGAGGGCCCCCCGTCCACGTGCCACGGCACGAAGTTGGCCTCCGCGGGCCAACGCCGCTGCAGGCAGATGTACGGGAAGACGGCGTCCTGCGGATGCCCCGGTGCAGCTTTTGGACAACCCAATTCTAAGCAACTTAAGTTCAAGAAGGGGGCCGGGAAAAAACGGCGCTCTGCCGACGTGGTTGAAGCTGTATCTATGCATGGGTGCTAAATGAAGAAGGGAAGGGGGGGGGGGGGTTGGACAGTTGAAGGGGGCCTGAAAGATGGCGTCCTGAGATTAAAGAAGTCTATGGGCGCTGAATGAGGAGGGGGGGGGGATGAGCAGATATACCATCAACTTCAGGATGCGCCTGAAGCTTGCTTTGGGTGCTAAAAAGGGGGGGACATGGACAACTAAACAAATCTAAGCAATTATCATTAAGTTCAATCTGGGGGTCTGGAAAATGGTGTCCAGCGGTTTAGTGGTTGAAGCTATATCTATACGTGCTAGAAAAAGGGGAACAGGAGCGTCGAAAAAAATAACACATCTGAGGAAACTGAAGGCCTGGACAATGGTGTGCTGCCAAATGTATTGCTTTCTCTATGGATGCTCAAGGGGGGGAGCCATGGAAAACCAAGGACATCTAAAAACCAATCACTAACTTGCATAGGGGGCCTGAAAACTAAGAAAATTGAGGCCACATCTCTTTGACTTGAATAGGAGGTCTGGAAAATGGTGTCTGGCACTGGCATTGTTGCAAATCAAGCCGGCTGGCTCGCTATAATCCTCCCAATGGCAAGGGGACTGTGGCTCACAAATTGTTGGAACAGCCTCCTTCTGTTTTCCGTTTGAAGTGCCGGGCTTCAACACCAGATGTTACAAGGTGACAAGGCTCCAATGCGTGATTTGAGGGTGACCCTTCTGGGGCAGTAACCAACACAAAAACAGCAAACCACAAAAACGCGACAAAGCAAACAACTAAGCACATTTCAAAAGACAAAACACAACCATACGTATTGTTTCTTGGATCCTCAGGAACTTGTTTGCATGCTCCCTTCTTAGAATGTTGACCGAGCAAACAAAGGAAGGTAACTTCTATCCCATTCTTGCCACCAATTGATAGCTAAAAGGAAGGAAACATATTAGGTGGCACTTCTCTTTACCCAACTTGTCTTTCGGAAATTTTCGACGCAGTTAGGAAAAATTAGGCAGGAGGTCTTTCCAATTTGATGAATTCGGAAATTTGATTCCTGATCCGCCGGCATCAAATTTTACGCCTCGAAAAGGTCCACCGCGAAGCGTCGAAAATTTTGGGTCGACTCGAAACTCGTCTCCCGGGCGCTGGAGGCGGAGAAGGCGGGCACGGGGCCGCGGGTGGAGTCGTGGGTGGCGCCCATCAGCTTCTCCACCTTCCGCCTCGGAGGTCGGCGGGCGGAGGGAGGGTTTTGGGCGGCCCCAAGCCCCCCACTCTTTAGACTTGGTGGACTGAATTTTAGCAGTTAATTAAGTGGGGATTTCAACTACTAAATTCCACAATAAGCAAAAATGTAAAAAGAAAATGTTTCCCAACCACAATCATGTAGAAGGAAAAGGAGCAATACTGCCCCAGCGCTCCCGGTTTGGGAGGAAGCCACCCATTTCCTTAGTTATAAACTGGGGGTACTTGATATAAACTGGAGGAAAGTACCACCCCCCAATCTGCGGTCCCCTGATTTTTGAGAAGCACTCTGAGGTGGAAACTGGGGCGTTCGGTTGAAACACTTTCTGTGAGCGGGCAAGGGGACTGCGGCCGGGCGGAGCAAACACACCCGGTGGTTTCCCCGTTCTCCCTTCTGGGGAGCAACGAGCAAAAGAACAAAACCGAAGATGTTTTCTTTCCCGAGGGAACCACTCTTGAAACAAAGATCGAAAAGGAGCCTTGCGACCTTTGCGTTGGATGTACGCCCAAAAAGGAATGGGACCTCCCCAATGGGAAAATCTGAAAACTGGTAGTGAGGCGATGGGCTTGGGGCTGCACCCGATGGCATCTCAAGTTGGGCATCCCAGAAAGGCCCTCAAACCCAGAGTGGGTCAGGGATCTCTCCAGAACACCTCGTGCATTTAAGCGGTGGACTTTATTGTGCATCATTTGAAGTCTATGCCATGTTCAAACCATGGGCAGCTTGATCTAGTCTATCATTAGTCCAAGGGGTCCTTCCCCTTTCTCTTCACCCATCGTGCTCTTCAGCAACCACCCTGCTTTCCTTGGGGTTTGGGGTTTGCCCATTAACTTCCCTGAAGGATCCCAGAAGAGAATGGACTCGCCCAACGACATCCCAGTGGGATCCCCATCAATTGGTCGCATCCATAATTTTGACTTCCAACCCAGTCACAGGAACATTTGGAACCCGTAAACATGGCGCTCTGCTTTGCTTTTGGTTCTTCCACACAGATGCCATCAGAAGGGGGCAGGGTTGCATTGAACTACGAGAATCCCTTCGGGTCTTGCAATCAAGAAAACTCGCATCGTAAAGGCTGGCTGGCTAGAGAGAAGCGAATGCCTGCTTAGGACTCTATGAGCCGACCGGAGCATGAAGCTAATATGAAACCACTTGAAGGTGTCCAACTGGATTCGAATCAAACGCCCTCCCCAAAAGGGTTGCTCAAAGAAAGACCCCTCCAGGCCGGTGTGGACTTCCCCATTGGAATTGGATTTGTGTCAAAATCAGGGGACACCCGAAATGGTTGGTACCTTCTGGCCTCAATAGAAAAACAACAACCACAACAAGGGTTACTCACTGCCTGAGTGGATGGCCCAAAACAAGTCCAAACTTTACATTTACCACTAAAATGGTCTTCCCAAAAAGTTTAAAGTTCATGAACTCAGGAAGTGAGGTCAACAAGCCTCAAAAAAACCACGTCCCCAATTGCACCGGGATGCAGCATGTGCTCGTTCTTCTGCAGGATCTCATCCACCAATGATCGCACCTCAGCGCCCGGAATTCCTTTTCCTGAGGGTGGCCTCGTCTAAAGGAAACCCCCAACGGTGTTTTCCACTATTGGGGGGCTAGGGGGCCCCTAAAAAAGACACAGCCATATGCTAACACTAGGAAATGCCGAATGGATTGTTGTCCTTTCTGGAAGTTAGCATACCAAATACTAGGGGGTGCAAACTTCTGATAGAAGTTGCCGGAACTGGTTTACCCAAATCGACTAGGTGCGTCTTATGGGGATCCCAACAACTGGTTCGTTTTCCTGTGGTCTCCTCTTTTTCTCCACCCCAAAAGGGGCGAAACACCCAACAGACTAATACGTATGAACAAGGCTCGTTAGCAACCAAGGAATTCTGGAAAGTGGGTTTCCTGCATGTGAGCGGTTGCTTTCGCTTTTCTTGTGAACACACACACACACAAAAGGTACCCCGACAACAGGCACGCATTGACAAGAATGTTCATGGACCACCAGGGAACTTAGTGGGAGGCCCGGATTGACAAACCACTGTCGTCTTAATAGGGGGTGTCCGCTTTTTAGTGGGGGATCAATCCACTTTTGGAGGGGACACCCTATGAATATGACATGTTCTACTAGGACATCTTCTACTTAGATCCGGGGTCAAGAATCTAAAGTGGAACCATGACATGACATGGCACGTGCCTCCATTTGGAGACCCCTGACTCCAGTAACCAAAAACGCAAACAACCCTCCAGTGAATGCTCTCGCTGCTCTCCAAACAGTACTGGGTGAATTGTAAGTTGTAAGGAACCCCCACTTACAAGCAACCCCCCAACTGCTCCTCCCATGTCCGAACATCCCAAGTGTCACACAATGTCACACATGTGGTTGGGACCCGGGTCTGGCAAGAAGGGACCAAGCAGGGAATTCACCGAAGGAACCTTGGGCAGGGTTCCAAGAAAGGATCCTTTCGCCAAATCAAGTGAAAAATCGGTTAACGCCCGAGTTACGCCTAAAAAACAACAACATTCTTGGCTAAATCGGTGGGGAAGCAAACGTGAGTCGCTTTCGGAGCCCTTGACCAGAACCCGTATCCTTTTCGGCCGGTTTGGGAAACAGTGAAGCCTTGAAGCCAAAGGGAAACTAATTAAACAGAGACCCACAAACAAGAGAAAACATAGCCAAAGGGAAGCCGCGGGCTTGGCCAAAGGCAAGCCCAAGAAGGAACACCCCCCCAAAAATGGGACCAACGGACTCGCCCGAAGGCGGAGCGAGTCAAAAGCGGCCCATCGCGGCATCGAGCGAAGGTCTAAGCCCCACGCCTCGGGGGGTGCTAGTTGGTGGTAGGGCCCGGCAGAGACTTTGCCTTTCGGCACCGCCTCGTGCCGCAGCCAGCCTGAGTCAGAGACGCCAGAAGCTTCACTACCCGCAAACCACCAGGTCCCAGGACCCAGCGGGGATCTTCTTGGGGGAAACATCAGATTAGAAGACATCAGTTCTTGGAGGAAGGCCTGTGTGGTTGATATCCGGCTTCTCCTCGTTTACACCATGTTCCCCCACAACCAGCTATTTGTGTGTGTGTGTGTGTGTCCTTTTGAGGCCACCCTCTGGGGGTTGGTTGAAGGGGAGCAACGGAGCGCCATCTGTTTCAGGGGTCCACCTCTCCCGATCGACATTCGCCAGGCCGCAGAGATCCGCGCCCTGGTCGCGGAGCACCTGACGAATTCTAGAGAGTGGCTCCAAATTTGAGCAGCGCCCGTTTCACCCGTTGACCAAAACATGGGTTCTCCCAGCTTGGCTATGAAGGATATCCCGTAAGCCTTACTCATCGCTTCAAGGGAAGATAGAACATCACATCTCCCAGTGATGCAAATAGAACTAAATGCGTATACATATATATATATATATATGGTACCCCCCCCCCCCAGGGACCTACCTCTTTGATGAATTCACTGGTATTTGCAGTGTTTTCTACCCTTTTTTGGGCTTTGGGGAGAGCAATGAAAAAGAAGCATGTCCAAGGACGTTCTGGAAGCTTCAGGCTTGATTGAAACCGATTAAACCGATTTAATTTAAATCGGGCACGGATTCAACATTCAAGATTCAAGAATCCAGGCCAAACTTTTCCAGGGATTCTTGAATCCCGGCGTCGATTTAAACCGATTTAAACCGATTTAACTTAAATCGGGCATGGATTCAAGATTCAAGATTCAAGACTCCCTGGAAAAGTTTGGCCTGGATTCTTGAATCTTGAATCTTGAATCCATGCCCGATTTAAGTTAAATCGGTTTAAATCGGTTTTAATCGACGCCTGGATTCAAGAATCCCTGGAAAAGTTTGGCCTGGATTCTTGAATCTTGAATCTTGAATCCATGCCCGATTTAAACTTAAATCGATTTAAATCGGTTTAAATCGAGACCCAAATTCAACATTGCACTTTGCGCGGCTGTACTTTAGCACAGTGTTGTGCAAGCATCCAAGTCCTGATTATTCATTCAATCTGTTTCAATCTAGGCCCACATTCAAGATTGCAGGTCAAAGCTTTCTAGGGAATCTTGAACCCAGGCTCAACTGAAATTTCAGTCGGTCTCAATGGGTTTCACTCGGGCCTGGACTCGCGTTTGCAAAGAAGACTTGTCTAGAGAATATGGGTTATTTCCTTATCAAATCCTGTTAAATCTCATATTGAATTACAAGTATATATTAGGAAAGGAACTCTATTTAAACTCGCAATCTCAAATTTGATTTCCATTAGGATTCTGACCAAATATTTCCGTATTGAGTCCCAATTAAATCCTGTTCAAGTTCAAATGAGCATTTAGAGAGCGTTCGTTGGTGGAGATGTGAATTGAGTATGAAAAGCGCTACACAACACTGTGTTTTACGGTGTTTTCTGACCAAGGTAGTGTTAGGACTAGTGAAAGACACAAGCTTGGGACCTTTGGATTCTTTCCTTATGCATTCCACTTCGTATGTTTTATCAAATTCAACCTTATTTCTGATTGAAATTCAATGGAGCTTAAGAAGGACATACTCCAGCCAAAATTGCCATTTAGATTCGAACTTAAATATTGACTGTTTATGTCAAACTAAATGGTACAAACTATTTTCTGTCCAATAGACCATTGTACATTGAGATTCAATCACTTTCAGAACTAGCTAGTCCTAGTTTGGTTCTAGTCCTAGTTGGGAGATCCTTGGTTATAGGCCAAGTATGGTCCCAGCTTACTGAAATACATAGAACGTATAAAGGACATTACAAAGGAAGTTCGTTATGAATTGTAGTTAATATATTAGTCAAGTTCTATGCAACTTCTAGCTGAACAATTGAATTTGAAATAAGGAGAATATCCAGTCAGAATTTACATGTTAGGACCAAATATTAAACAGGACCTTTTTTTCCACCAGAATGTAATACTTGACACCCAAATACTATAAGAAGTAGAATTAAATGGTCTAGTCCTAGTTTGATCCTAGATGAGAGATCCTTGGTTCTAGTGTTAGGTTGCTCCCTAGTTTACTGCAACAAGTAGAAAACATACAGGACATTGCAGAGGAAGTTATACTTGAAGTTCATTTTTTGTAAGAATCTGAGGTGGGTCGTCTAGTCCTAGTTGGTCCTAGTCCCAGTTCAGAGATCCTGGGTTCTAGTCTCATTTGGTCCTGGTCCTAGTTGAGAGATCGTTCCTCCCAGTCCTAGATGGGCAATTCATGCAAAGGAGAGGCAGCCAAAAGGTAGGTCCCTGGGGGGGGGGGGGGGGTAGCATATATATATACTATTGGATCATTGAATATATATATATATATATTATATATATATGTACACACACACACACCTATATCTGCGCATTTCTTGGGCGACCCAAAATGGATCCTAACAAGCGGAGTTCGGGTCCCTTGAATTCAGGCGTCCCCGCTTCTTCTTTGTATAGAATCGTTGTCTGGAACGGGCATCAAGAAAGGGAGCTACATCATGGCGAGCTCGTTCGCTCCCGGTCGCGCTCGCAACAACAAATGCAAATATATGGCACTTCCTGTTTTCTCTAGAAAGGCATGAGGGCATGCCTAAAGGGCCTTACTAGCTTCAAGAACAAACAACACGGACAAATCGAGGCGCACAGAAAATCAGCACCCTGCAACTTGTGGGCCTCCTTCTTCGGCAATTTTCCCTCCACAGTTTTTCTTCACCCAAACATGTGGGCATGGATTCTTCTTCGGCCTTTCCCTCCACCGTCTTCCGAGGCGCCGCGCCGTTGGCCAGGAACTGGTCCCGGCTGCCGAAGTCGTTGGCCGGCGCCGGCGCCGGGGTCGCCGGCAGCGCCGCCGCGGTGTGAGGCGCGTCGCTGGACGCGTCGAGCGGCGAGCGCCAGGTGTCCAGCGCCGGGGCGACGGCGGCGCGCAGCGCCTCCAGCACCTGCAGGGTGGGCGGTGGGTGGCGGGGGGGTGGGGGGGTGGGGCTGGAGGGAAGTGGGGTGGGTCAGTTGTTCTGGGCCTTTGGTGCGGGTTCGGGGTTTCTGTGGTTAGGTTTTGAGTTTGGCTTTGGGCTTTGGGCTTTGGTTTTCGGTTCGCATCTGTACTTTCTTCGCCGACCCACCAGAGTGGATGGTTGAAATCAGCGCGCTTGATGTTCATCATTTAAAGCCACAGCCACTTGGTAAACCAAGAAACCACTTTGACTCCATACTCCCAGGGTACAACCATAGTGGCAACTTGGCCCCCTTTTTTTCACGAACATCCAACACACAGAATCAATGGCTGTATCAACCCAACCATTGTTTTAATGGTGGCCAGATGTGGCCAGCACTCGACAATCAAGGCATGAACAAGGAGTCACTCCCAACCGCAAATCAGCGGGTGGCCTCCCGGGGCCATGACGAAACTTGGGCTCAGAAAGAGAGAGAGAGGGAGAGAGTCGGTCAAAAGGTCAATGTTTTCTTTGGACATGTCTTGAAGCATCGCCCGATAAAGCTAGCGGTGCAGCTTCCAATCCAAAACGTGCTGTTGAGAATCACACTTGAAGAGAAATTGATTTTCCCACCTGAAATTAAGGATCCCGTTTGCTTCTGAAGTAACCTCGACGAGCCCAAAAAGCACGCTCGTGAGCTGCTTTCTTCTTGTTTCCAACCGTGGCCTCAAAAAAGGCACGAGTGCGGGCTCGATAGGTCCCAAGAGTGCAACTACGAAACCTTCCTTCAAGGTCATACACCATCTTGATCCTGATTGCGTAGAAAATGTAACATGCATATCTTCCCCGTTTACTTCAAAGGTCTCTGAATAGGAGTCGTGCAAGGATGAGAAACTCCCAACCTGCCCTCAACTCTTAGAGGGCTCAAATGGCGCGTGACCACGGGGCTCAACCACAGTAGCGCTACTTTTTGAATCCCCTATTGGCTCAAAGAAAACCCAAATAAAGGGTGGCCACAGAAGCACTGCCAGACCAAGCCAACGCAGTAACAAAAAAAGTGACACACATGCAAGGCAAATGCCGAGACGCGACCAAAGTTCCTTGCCGAGGTTAAGAGCTGCGCAACCATCCAACAATCAACACGAGGAGCGATGACGCCAGAGCGCAAAAACAACAGGCAGTGGAAACCTGGCAGCATCACAGCCGGGAAGTCCGGCAGGCGGAGACGCATAACCATGGGAGTTGGTTCAGTACACGCATGGCTCACATCCGAGAGGCAAAGCACCATGCGGATGTGGACCTTTCGGATGGTGCCTAAAGCAGGGAGAGCCACGCAGCGCGTCAAGTCGGAGCGAGGAAACCGACGGCAAAGAAAAGTCAGCCTACCGTCAGCTCACAAGTACTGAGGCAACAACTGCTCTGGGCGAAGCGAGCCAAACGCTTCCGGGCGCCAGAAACAAGTTACTATAAACCGAAATGCCTAGGGACCTTCGTGGGTGAAACTGCAGGTTGCCCCCCGGAAAGCTCTCACCGCCTTGGGCGGCAGTTTGCCCCTCCGGAGGCTGCAGAGCACTACGTCCCCGCCGGTCTTCGCGTGAAAGTTGTAGACCTATCCGCCCATCGAACTCGATCAAAACGGTACATCTGACTCCAAACGCGGCTCTTTTTTTGTGATGGTTTTCAAAGTTACCCTGTAACCAGTGTGGCTTCCTTTTGGTTTTCCTCTCAAAAACGGGGCGTCTTCAGGCAAAGACATGGATCTCGACCTGATGGAACACTTCCAGGCAACATGTCCCGACTGATGATTGCACTCGTTTAGCCCTTTCCAAAGGGGAATCCACAAGTGCCCAACTTTGCTGTTGGGGGCATAACCCAAAATGGACCAAACCCACAACAAACCCAAAAAGGACCAAACCCAAAATCGACCAACCCCCAACCCATCAAAATAGACCAAATCCAAAACGGACCAAACCCAAACCAAACCCTCAACCATCAAGATGGGACCCAACAACTGGCCAAACAACAAAACCAACCAAAACCCCAAACCTCCAAACAGGACCCAAAATGGCCAAAACCAATTCGTTGTTTGCCATCCAAATTGGTCCACACCTCCACACCGGACCCCCCGCACCGGAGTCGCCGGCCTTTTGCCCACCCCCCAGCTTCCTCTTCCGCGGCATCGCTAAGCCATAAGCTCGGGGCCCTCGTGCTTCGGTGTTTTCTTTGAGCTGGGCTGAGATGAATGGTCTGAAGCTGCGCCAATATAGAGAGCTAAACACAACAAACTTAGAAGCAACAATTAATGAATACATCTCACAATTGCAGGACAGAAATTAATCAAACAATGGATCAAGAAGAAGAAGTTAAGAACATCAAGCTGCCGGGCGGTTTCATGTTTCATTGGTGCTTGCATCCGAGGTGGGCTGGGCGCATCGGCGCCGGCTTGAGCCCGCGCGGGAGCTTGGGCCATCAAACCCATTCCAGTGGAACGCGCCACGCAGCACTGGCCACGTTTCGGGGGTCACCGCGGAGGTTTGCTAAAATAGCGGTTCCCCAAAACATGGCGGTTGGGCGTCCTTTTGGTTTGTCTTCGAATACCAAAGGGGAACCGAGCTCTTCTTGGCATTGGCGCGGCTTCAAATTGAAACCTCGAGACTCTCTTTGGACCTCTCAACACAGACACAACATGTCCCCAGACTGCCAGAGAACCCTGTCGAAAAACCATCTCGATTGTGCGATTGCTATGTGGGCCAGCCACTTTGTGGTCGAATGACAGAAAACATCAGATCGCAAAAACTGGAATCTCAGTTCGGTCAAAATGAGTGGCCACTTCTAGGTGTACGGAAACCTAGCAACACGGCTTCCTTGAAGGCCTCTTCTTGCAGGTGGGAAACCCGAAAAAGGCCAACGGCAACGACTGAAATCGGGCAATGACCACTCCCGTCAAAACCCGCTCCTCCTCCTTACCAGCACCGGTGTAGCAAGCGCCTGGAACGCCCAGACTCCTTCGAACAAAAAATACTCAGACCACTGGGATTGCTTTTTGAAGGCTCGGAAGGGAAACTAAGGCAAAACCACACTCCTATTTCACACCCAACTGTTTGTATTGGGTCCGTGTGGTCAACACTTGGATTTTCTGGCCTGCAACACCGTCTTTAGGCAAGTGTTTCGTGCTGCAACATAGTCTCTAAGTGACCATTGCACGTGGGGAACCCCAGCAACCAATTCTTTGGTCTTCCCACCTAAGCGCATGGAACTCTAAATGGAGATCGAAATTCCTCTCCCAAATCCTCTAAGAGGGATGTCAGGGATGAGCAACCCACAATGCCGCTGGCCACATTTCACCCTACCCGCTGGCCACACAGTTTCTGGCTCAGGCACCTCGTTAAAAGGCAGGAGAACAACGCGTGCCGAAGGCAGAAGACAAAGCCAACGAAGGCTGGTTCTAAAGTCGGGAATTTGGGGACCCTGAACCCCAACCAACATGCATGTTGATAGGAAATAATTGGATGACCCTGCAAGGAGAAAACAACGCCAGAAGGCCGAAGGGTATGTCCTTTTTGGAGGCCTCGGCGTGCTTGGTTCGAGGAAAACCCACCAGGCAACGACCATTTTGAGACAAACCCAGAATGACCCTGAACCCCAACCACTGGCTTCTTGTTGGGAATCATTGTAAGGCTCACTCCCACATTGCTAGCACAAGTCAAGTCCAAAAAGGCAAGCTGAGTGTGGCAACGAAGAAATGCGGCAACCCTTAACTTGATTGCTCCAAGTCCCGAGCAACAAGTCGATCAACTTTTGCAGGTGCGGAAAAAAAAAACACCATTTGAGCAGCGCCCGAAACTCCTTGGGTATTGTTGATGGGACTATTGAGAACCAGCTTCAAGTGGCCCTTTGGACTTGGCTCTGGGCGTGAAATCCTAAAAGGTCTATCCATTGGGTAACTTTGAGGGTCGCAGTGGGACAAATCGAGTCTCCCCGCTTCACTTCTGGTTCCCTCTGCTTTCTCAAGATATCTGGGTCTTTCTTTGGCCGCTTTAAAGGGAAACCAAAGTAACACGGCCCATTTTGCGAGTGCCCAACATGTTTCAGACAACCCCATGTCCAACCTACAAGATCCCACGGAAAGGAAACACAACCCTAGTGATCTGGGTATGCGTCAACAAAAGGGATTCGGACGCTTTCCCCAAAAAGGGTACCCTCAAAAACACACACACCCCATGTGTGAAAAGCACCACCGAAGACAAAACCCTTGCCATCTGTAATCCTTCCTACAACATCCATCGTTACTTGAATTTCGGCCTCCCCCCATGTTCGATACATAAACCAGGTTATCGTACCCTTTTCTCTGATTGAGCTCATCAAGAAATAGCCCCGGGCAGAAATTAGAAGGGCGAGCGTTTTCTGATCTAGTGCAGTTTTTGCCGCCCCTCTTGTGGCTTAAGTGCCACCATGGGTGGCCAGAAGGCTTCAACCCTGAGCTGGTGCGCCCTGATCTGTCTGTTTGTGCACAGAGTGCTGTAGATCTTCAGCAGGGAGACACCTGTGGCGCAGGTACATCTGGGCTGGTGGTCATGCCCTTCGCTTGGTTGGAATAACCTGCCCGCCTGACTTGTCTTTAGCTAAACAATCGGACACAATGATGTTCCTTTTCTCTTGGCAGGCTTGGCCTTGTGGCTTTTGTCTCGCACAAGGCAGGAGAGGGGGTACAGGGCTTCTAGGCATGCGCTGCCACAGCTTTTGAGATTTGTCCACGTGCATGCTCAAACGTGCCATCGCCAAAGCCTGCCCAAGCTAGTGATAGCCTCCTGGCCCTCGAACATGGACTCGCCTGTTGTACAAGAGTGGTTGTCAAACCCAACTTTGGTGAACCGTGCGGCTCATGGAAGATTGGCTCTCTCAGTGAGAGATTTCCTGAGCCGCGGTGATGTTTTGACCAATGACGAAGTGTTGATTCCAATCCTCAAGTACATGGGTACCCGGCCCAGCGTGGAAGCCATCCACCAGCATGTGGAGCTTTTTTTCACTCTGGCCCGGCCAAAGGGTAAGCCTTCGATGAAATGCTTCTTGTTTGCAGCAGCCAGCTGAGCTTAGAGGCCCCTTGCCCACAAGAAAACACATATGGGTGCTCACCGAGGCTCCATGATGCGGCTACAAGCCTGGATCATCAAACGTTTGGTGTCGATCTTCAATCGAGCAGCCAAGCGGGGACATTTTCCTCGGGAGCGAAGCATGCAGAACATTTACGTGGCAGCCGGGATACCACTGCCCCACAACCCCCGTCACCTTGCGGCAGTAGTGAGTGCACCCTACTCAAGCATAATGGGCCAATTCACTGAACCCTGCAAGCTTGTCCAGGCAGTGATGAGTCCCTCAGCCCTGATGAAGGAGATGATGACGATGGCACAGAATCTGACTACGAGGCTCGAATGCATTTGGTGTAAGTGAGAACTTCAGAAAACAGAAGTGATAGAAAAGCCATTCTAGTAATGTGGGAAAGCTGAGGAAGGTGGGGAATGCAGCGAGAGCGAGGACTTCAGTGATCCTGATCCCTTGGTTCATCCTGATGATGTTTCTGCAGCCAACCCTCAAGACCGAGAAGATGTTGGAAAATCATGCCCCTTGACCAACCTATGAACATGTTGAATAATAGTAAACCGTTGGTTTTCTCAAGCAACCTCGCCGGCCCATAGCCTTGCCGAGGTGATGCATCTCCATCGCCCGTGGCCTTGGCCGAGCAGGTGTGCAAGTTAGCAACCCCATCTCCGGCTTCTGGACCCTTGATAGCAGGTAACACAAAGTTCATTGTGGTTGGGTTCTAGTTGCAAAAAGTTTCTAAAAGAAGTGTTTGCATTCCTTCAGCTTAGGACCTGCCCTGGATGGTCTTCCCAGCACCGAGAAATTGCCGAAACCCATCTCTGACGAAAGGATGCCGAGATCCGCAAAAGAAACCAAGTTGCTGGACATTGTCCCCGGGGCCACCCTAGACTTACAACAAGAGTTGGAAGCTGCCTTTGCTGAGGAGGCGATGTTGCAAGAAATGCTGGCCCTTGCAGAACTCGAGGAGAAGCTTGAGAAGGAAACCACGGTCATGAACAACTTGAAGTTTCAAGAGCAGCAGTCCTGGCTAAACCGGACTGTGCCGGCTGGCAGTGAAGCTCCACCCGGCCACTTGTTGGGATTATTTACCAAACTTTCTTGTTAGGGGTGGAGGAAACAAGACCCCTACGGTTTGCAAGTGGTCCAATCCGAAGAATGTACTGCCCCTGAGCTTGCTTGTTTTCCATCCTTACTTTGCTATATTTTGCCACCAGGCTCTCTGGACAACCTGGAAACCCTACCGGTGGACTTGGATTCTGTGGATGGTGCCAAAGCTTTCATGGTGCACCAGGAGATGCTGGGAAGCGCAAGTCTGGAGAAGCCAACTCTTGGCACTCCTCACTTGCATCATGAGGGGACGCTCGTTTGGAGTCCGGCCAATGTTGGGTTTGATCCACCGGTGCCTCCAAAAGAAGCCAGGGCCATCGAAAAGGCCCCTTTCGTGCGCCCTGAGAAGGTTGAAGCCGCGGACAATCTGCCTTTTGAGAACCAAACTGTACTTCAGGACAAGGCTCACACCAATGACATCAAGCCCATCGGCGAGGCTAGCGCCACGTTCCCAGCCGTGACTCTGGCCCTGGTGCCCCACATGCCAGGCAATCGCGACCAGGACATTGAGCTGGGCAACAGCAAGGTGGTGACACAGGACGCGGAGACCAACAATGTTGCGCTGATGTCGCAAACTGCCATGCTCCACACCGACAAGGACACCGTGACCGGCAACGATGATGCCGCCCTCCAGAAGACCAAGGTCTGCAGCGAGAACAATGCGCCACACAAGAACAAGCTGCAGGAGGGTAAGGTGCGCGCAAAGAACGCTAGAAAGCTGCAGGACACCAAGACCAAGATCTCCAAGGGCAAGGAGGACATGAAGGACAAGGAGAAGAGCAAGGTCTCCGACGGCAAGGGGGACATGAAGGACACCAAGGAGAAGACCAAGGTCTCCAACGGCAAGGGGGGCATGAAGGACAAGGAGAAGACCCAGGTCTCCTACGCCAAGGAGGACATGAAGGACACCAAGGAGAAGACCAAGGTCTCCAACGCCAAGGAGGACGTGAAGGACACCAAGGAGAAGACCAAGGTCTCCAACGCCAAGGAGGACATGAAGGACACCAAGAAGAAGACCAAGGTCTCCAACGCCAAGGAGGACATGAAGGACAAGGAGTGTGTCAAGCATAGCGCGACAGGGAAGGAGGACCAGACGCAGCCCAAGAAGGCTAAGAACAAGACCACAGTTGAGCTCCACGACCCGCCTGCTCCACCGCTGGCACTGGACGCACTTCCGGTTGTGTCCCCGATGCAGCAGGTGCCAGTCAAGAAGGGCAGGAAGAAGGGGAAGAGCAACAAGCCAGACGAGGATACCGAAGACTGCGAGGACACTGGAGGCCATGGCGGACGAGGGCGAGGCAAAGCGCGCGGACGAGGCCAAGGACGTGGAGCCAAAGGCAGGGGCCGTTCAGCAACTTCAGCGACAACAAGGTGTCCACGGAGCAACGCGCGCCATGATGCGGAGATCGTGGAGATTGACGAGGGCACCGCCAACAACATAGACAAGGAGACGCCCAGCGCACACGCAGCGGAAAACAGAGGCCGCGGCAAGAAGCGGAGAGCTCCAGCCGTGGATGCCAACAATGCAGTAGCGCGTGGCAGTGCGCGTGGCGAAGGGAGGCCCACGGAGAGTGCAGACAACAAGCTCACGCAGGTGTCGCAGAAGCCCAAAAGCAAAAACCAGGAGAAGAAGCACGCGAACACGCGCACAAGGACAAGGGTGGCCAAAAACAGGGACCAGGTGCTTGACAAGGACAAGCCGCTGACGGACAAAGAGAAGAAGAAGCTGGCCACCAAGGCAAAGAACAGCAGGAAGAGTTCGGCCTACCACGTTGCCTTCAACAAGGCAATCAAAGAT